CCGGGCAGGCTGGAAAGTTCCCTGGCCTGCTGCTTGTTTGTCAGTCGGCATCTCTGGACTCTCCAGCCCCTGTTCTCACCGACGGACTCTCAGGAGACTAAGCAGTGGGGCGAGGACCCTCGAGTCCCCGGGCGACTGGGGCATGGAGCCTGCGGCGCATGAGCCGGGGGCCGGGACAGCACTCTCCTGCCACCCAGTGCGGAAGGGGGGCAGACCAGCTTGCACACATCCCCTCTGCCTACCTGCTCAGCGGCCGGAGCTGCTTTGCCCGTGCCGGGGTTGGCAGGTCTGGGACCCAGTGCTGGGGCATCGCAGAGCGAAGGCAGGCGAACGGGACTTAGCCCCGCCCGACTAAGGGGCACTGTAAGTGACGCTGCCCGGCTAGCAGCAGGAGTGGTGCCAGCTGGGGATGTTAAGGACCAGTCGACTAGCCGATAAGCGTTTGCTTGCCAGACAGTCTGTCGACTGGTCGATTCCCCCCCACCCCAGCTGCCCCTATGAGACAGAGGCAGCGAAGGGGGGAGGGTACTTCAAAGGGGCGGCGCCGCACAGTTGAGTCGGGGATAAGTTGCTCAGTTGCTGAGGACTCCCCAGTTGACCCTGGGCTCTGTGCGGCATTTTCCCAGAACCTGGGGTCAGCTGGGGAGTCCCCCGACCTGGGCTCCGTGGCTCTGAAATGCACAAGAGCTCCCACTGGGACTCGTGTACATTTCAAAGCAGGCACCCGCGTGCAGCCAGAGTCAGCAGGATCCCGCTGGCCCCGCGGGGGCTGTACGCGGAGGTCCACATCCTCCTCGGAGCCCTGTGGACGTGCCTGTCGACTAGCTGACGCAGTGGGGTACAGTCCATGCGCAGGGCACTGTGCTTGGGCTGGGGCGACCCCACTGGCTCTGTCTGTGAGCATGGCCCAGCGGGGTCGCCCCGAGGCCCCCGGGTCACACACCAGGGCCCAAGCGGCTCTCACCAGAGAGGGAAAGGGCTGAGCAAAGGGGTGGTTGGGGAAGTCAGTCTTGGCTGGGAAAGCAGGGAGAGAAGAGACTGAGCTGCGTATTGGGCGTTGGGGGCCTGTGGACCCCCCCAAGGGTCTGAGGCTGCCTGACCCTTCGCTTCGATGCCCACATGGAACCCGGGCCGGCTGCACCTCGCAGGAGCAGTACACGCCCCCATTCGACTGGCTGGCGGACGGGTGCAGGGCCGGGGTACCGACGCGCCACCACACCCCGGATGGAGCACTGGTGGGGACGCAGGCGCGAGCGGGACTTTCCCAGCGCGTGGTGGGAACCGGGGCCAGGGACGCTGCTGGGCCCAGGTCAGGCTCCCAGCTACGAAGGAGCATCCAGGCTGGGTTCTCCCCGGCCTCAGGAATTACGTCTGCAAAGTGAGTCAAACCGCGCCATGGGGAAGCTGTGACTGCAAGGCCCAGCCGCCTGCTCACTGTGAATTGACAGCTCAGGACTCCCAGAAGGTGCCCAGCACAGACCAGGCCTGGAGGGGGGTCCCCGAGCAGGCCCTGCGGCCAAAGGGCAGGGGGCCGAGTCCGACAGCAGCATTACAGGTCGGCTGGGGAGCACTAGGCTCTGCTCACAAATCACAGCAGATCCGCTATTTCCCCACCACTTAGAACCATCTGTTCTACCATCCTCTCACGCACCCCGCACCGTGCGGCTGGCAGGGCTGCCGGCGATCAGGGTCTTCTGCCAGGCGTGGACGGGCCACGTGGCTGCCTGCCCAGGGCGCGCCAGGGCTGTTCGCTGGTGCTCGCAGGCAAGCCAATGCAGGGGGCCGCCTGGGGAGAGCCGTGTGAAGGATCCAGCACGCTCTGCCCCTCCCCAGCAGGCTGCGGGGCAGCTACTCGGGGGCAGGCATGAGCCGCCTCCAGCACCCTGGGGTGTCGGGCACTGACCCCACGCTCACAGCGGGGGCTTGCATCAGACAAAGGATTCAGAGGCCACCTGCGGAGAGAGCCCAGCCCCCCACGAGGAGCCCAGCCCTGCATGACTGCGCAGACGCGGGGGTCGCCCGCCGCCGGGCAGCACGGCACC